AAAAAAAAAAAAAAAAGTCTTTCTATCCCTTGGGAAATCAGCATAACTTAAAAAAGTAAAATTTGATAATCTGCTAGATAAAGAAATGGCAGCATGTAATTATTTTCAGGGAGCTATGAGGAAAGGAAAATATGTTGGGAATGGTAGCATGGTTTACGTTCTTCAATTCATATATGTCAGCACTTGAAAAAATTACATAGTTCTAGTTCATAGGAAGAAGTGGGATAAGATGGGATTCTGAGCCCAGTATCTGAGATCTAGACAGTCCTGCTACCATCAGACTGGGTCCCATAGGGTCAGTAAGCAACTTCTATTGTGTCTCAGTCTCTTCAGTGGAAAATGAGAAGACAGAATGAGCAATATCTAGCCTCGTATCACTCCCTACCTACATTGCTTGGATTCCATGTGATTCTGAAAGATTATAGGCTTTTCTCATGAATTAAATCCTTAATTTCTTTAGGATATGCATTTATAACCTTCCATTTGAATTGCTCAAGAAGGAAATATAAAATAAGGCAGAGATTTGTAGCTCATTCTTAACTATATGTCATAATCCAAATTTACATTTTAATGCCATTTGAAATTTTGAAAATTTCATCAAGGCAGGTGAAGATTGCTATCAACATTGTGGAGATTAACAAGTGGATGGTCAAGTTATATGACCTGTCTGGGATCACAGTGAGTGTCTGAGGTGGGGATAGACCCCAAGTTTAGGGGTTACTGACTCCTAGGCCTGTGCAGGGGAGGGGCTACCTAAACAAGAAACTGTGAAGAGAATAGAAATCTCATGTTGCCGTGATGTTACTAGCATTGCTTCAAACCCTGGTTATATTCTCATACACAGAAGCAAATGCTCAGAACTCAAAATAAATTTGTAGGATCAGATTTTAAAGGGAATATTTTTTTGTTGTTGTTAGGTATCGCAGACTCAGTTCCAACTCATATCAACCCTAAGTACAGCAGAACATAACACCGCCCGGTCCTACACAATCCTCACAATCTTTGCTATGCTTGGCCCTATTATT